GCTATTATGTATAATAGGAGTACTGTACATGCAGAAACAAATTAGCATGACTGCATGAGTAAAAATTTTGTGGACTAAAAGTTGAAGAGGCAGAAGATTATACAGATTACATAGAAATAGAAAAATATATACAGTAGTTACAGAAGAGTTGATACAGTATATGTTTACTAGACCATAGATAGAAGAGCCTTGTAAATATGGTATATAACTAACATAAGAGCATATTTAAGTTATATTATAGCGATGTGCTCATTTATACAAAAGTTTACTTATTATATTCCAACAACATCTGATCTTTTGAGATCAGAATAAGCTCAAGAAGCAAAGAAAAAAAAACAGGTTTTGCTATATACTGAGCACCCTTGATCAATTGAATTGTAAAAATATGCAGAAATTTAACCTGTTTTGATTATTAATTTGAGNTATTAATTTGGGTATTTTGTTAACCTTTATTTTTAGTATAGGTGGTACCTCTCAATTAGATCATCCTGCAATTTGATGGTCAAATTTGCTTGGAGGTCAACTTGCAATTTACCTTGTTCCCAAAATTTGACCTCTTTTAGCCTCTTTCCTAGCATTTTTGTGCTGTTTGCCCTTGATTTTATAGTGTCTTGATTCAACCATTTTGATATTTAACCCCTAGTTTGGCAATGGATTAGGGTCAAATTGCCAGGTACCACCTGCATTTGTAACTGTAAACAAGTTAATTTCTTTGACAAATATGACATTTTAGAAAAAATGAAATATAAATATGCTTTCAGAAATGTTGGAAAAATGTCCGTAAGTTGAGCTATTGTCCAGATGTTGGGTCAGATTTTTTTCAATACTTTGTGTCCCCAAGTTGAACTGTCCTTATGTTGGGGTGTCCGCATTTTGGGGGCTCACTGAACAGTAAACATGAACAAAAAGTGTAATGCGCAATGTCATCAAGAAATAAGCGTTAAAATAATTCCGACTATGTTTCCGCGGAAGCGTGTTATCACGTTTGTATTGTTTTGTGTTCTCCGACAATGAATAGGATAGTGAAAAAAAACAGACTATTTTGACACTCCGTTTAATTTTCCAGCTGTGCCGCAGCAGCAGCAACAATAAAGCAAAGACGTCCGACCACAATACACGAAGGCTCTCATCATCATCACATGCACTGCATATAAGATTATGGTCGTAGGGCCCATTGCGTAAACAGGCCATTCGCTGCATGCTGTACTCGGGATGTTTATTTTTTCTCCATCAAAACTGCCATTTTTTCCATACCTAAAATAACAGGGGTATACATTGTAAATTCATCACCAGCATCGTAAATTATTTACCTGCAAAAAAACATAATTGCGCAAAAATATAAATTCTTGCCTCTTCTAGTGGAAGATTTCACCCTAAAATAACAAGTTATGTCCGTGTATTTTATCCCATTCTTAGTGTATGGTATGAAACATTATTAAATTTATTTTTATTAGTTTATCTACTCTAAAAAGTTGTATATATACCAGACCAACATTTATTGATGGAAGGCAGACTTTGAAAAGGGATGAAAAGACTTCTAGCTTTACTTCTTGCTGGTGACAGACTTTGAAATTTTTCAAGAAAGAAAATAAAATGACCGAATGTCTTTTTTTGATGTCACATCATTTTTTAATGGCCTTTGGGATGTGGATCAAGCTGGAAGAGGTTGCTGTGGACCTGTGGGCTGTGGATTAGAGACAGTTGGATTTCTGTTATGAGTGGTAATGCAGTGTGATATGGTGTATTGTCTGCAGCAATAATGAGTGAGCGGTGTATCAGAGGGAACTTATTTCGTTATATACAGTACTCCCTCTTCGAAGTAGGCTCGGCCGTGTTTAAATGTCTATTCAACGAACATATTGTTCGGAACTTTCTACAAATGATTTAAAAATGTACTGGTCAGTAACCCATCAACCCTCGCTCCTGAAACTACCAGAAAAGTCTGAAGAAATAGTGATATCTTACTACAGTATCAGGTTTGACTTTTCCTGCAGAAGCAGATTTTCTGCATCAACTACAGTACAGAAAAGCGCCGCACCCCGCCGCTTTGTAATCGCAGGGTTGCTGGAGCCATGGGAACTGCACAGTCTTGGATAGAGGGCAGCAGGTTAGAAAAATGGCCGCGCCCAAGGAAACAATAGTGACTTATCCGCCTGGATCGCTCAAGTACATAAGCTCACAACTTTTCGCATGTGGTTTGCGTGGATGTCGGGAATATCCCTTGTGACATGCTAACGCAACAATTGTAGAATCGCAATGAGTTGGCCTTTTTGAATCCGTTTAATTTTCATTGCTTGCATCGACTTCGGTTCTGTTTCCCCGTGTTTCAAGTTCGGAACATCTTATGGACCCATCTTTCTGAATCGCGATTTCTTTCTCTAGGAATTATTTGATTCTTGTTCATGGGTACTTCTGCGTCCTGAGCAACGAAAAAATATTTTCGTCGCTGGTTTTTGCGAATGGCGTAAACTGCCGATCTACGTTCACTGTATTTTGCTGTAATAACTTCGCGCACCTTCAAACTCCTCAAGACGTAATTCTTTCCACCATGGATTCCAGCCAGCGCTACTCAATTCCTCTCGAACTGCAAGATCTGCTCCTAAAATTCATAGTTGCTTGTCTCATCCATCAACCTACCGATCTTGTGAACTATCGTGTTTTTCTCGATATATCAGACAAGCGGGAAGGTCGAGTATTTCTCGCGCCTTCGAGATTCTCCTGATCTTTAGTCATTCGTTCATAATACAGTACGAGTATACGAATGGAGGAGAAGAATCTGACGATGATCTTCAAATTGGTAACAAATACGATATTCCGAAGGTTCATCCGGATGACCCCTGCAATCGCAACGAACCTGAAAAAGTGAAAACCTTGTTAAACCCTTGCTCCAAATCAATTTATGGCGGTCAAGCAAGGTAGTGTTTCGGTGAGCCAGTCTCCTCCGTGATGGATTTTGGTAATTATTCGCATAACAAAATGCACACAAAAAATGATAATAGTTTTGCTATGCTGAGGACCCAGCACTGTGCACTGTTACTTCAGAATAGGCAGGTTACTGCATGGAATCCCAGGGCTTCAAACTAACTCCCCTAATACATGTAAAATTATTGGATGATCCGTGGCGCACTTCGTCGCATGTACAGTTCACCCACCGCAGGCGCAGTTGCGGGAGACATGTGGGCATGCATGGGGCAGGATGAGAGAGGCCTGTATGTATGTGACTACAGTACTGTATATAAAATGTAACCCCTGTATGCAGCTGCTTGCCTGGCTCAGCATGCCTTGGTTGGTTCATGGGACCTGACGCGTGTATGGCATCCTGCAAAGGCACATACAGTTACGTGCGTGTTATTCCTTGGCCATCCATATGCACAATATAATCAATAATGCACTACTCTGCTTTACCCAGCTGTGCATTTTTTGTACTGAGTGTATATTTATGTGCAACTTGTCTTGGCTGCTGCCTGCAGGCATTGTACTTCCTTGCGTGTTGCTATTCCTGCCTATAGTCATGCGGTGAAGTGAAACCAAAGCAACAATGCAGACCTCAACTCCATTGCTGAAAATTCTAGATCGTTTCTTCATCTTGTGTTACATACTGTACTTTGATTGTTTTAGTGCCATCTTACGTGTTTGTAAACTCATTTGTGCGAGTAAATCGAATTTGGATACAGATAAAGACGCCGCGGATGCTTAAAACAAATATTTGACAACGCGACATGAAATCCTTACCAAGTTTCTCCGGCATCCTGTTGTGTTGAAAGATTTCAAGTTGATTCACTCGTTCTTTTGCTTTTGTATACAGTATACGCCGTTTGAAGTGTAAGGTGGCTGTGCGACAGAACTGCGTTCAAACTTACATCATAGCAGCAGTGATACGTTTATTGTTCAAGTGTCAGTATATGAGCTTACACTGGGTGTGGAATTTCATAGCCTGGATTGAATGACGGTTCTGTTATTTGTGGGATTCTGGGTTTCAGATTTTTAACACCAGTCAACAGGACAGAATCAAAGCCGAGAGTGACATTTGGAGGAAAACTAGTATTTTAAATGTATTCTGAACTGCGTATAGATTATGATTTGGTGCTGCCCATCGATAATGAAGGTCTGTATTATTTTTGTAATTCAAATATGTGTGCATTGTTAAAAAAATAAATTAAAGGAATAATGAAAATGCAGGACAAACTTTTACGGGAGAATTGATAAATAGTATTTAAATTTCTTGATGAGGTAAATCTCTTCTATTTTATGTTCTTTAAATTATTTGTTTGATGTTGTATTCCATAGGGAGAAGTCCTAAATAAATAAGTCAATAAATAAAATAAGTGACTATAGTTCCTCTCATATACAAGGGCCGGAAAACCCAACGGTAATTCTTGGAATCAATTCACAAAATTAATTTCAATAATATGATGAACAGTCGACTTAGGATTACCAAATGCGTTGAAAATTCCACGAAATAATCTGCTCTGGAAATGTTGAAAAAATCCTTATGCGTTGATCTGAAACAGATGATACCGCAAGTGAATCGATACATATCCTTCCAGTTTTGGCATGTCTGGAGAAATGTTTCCATTCCTGCGCTGAGAAATTTAGGTTATCCTTCCTTTTCACTGCCTAGTCCAAGGAATCCGGAAGGATACATATATTTGCATCGTCTTCGTGATGTTGAGCACGTTTATCGGTCTTGCGTGTTGAGATATTAGAAGCACACGCGTTAACGTTTCGAATGATTCATTGAAATGAATATCTGCGCTCTGTCAACATTTCAAGTCACCTCCACTCCAAAAACATCACATTTTATTTTTATTTTCTATAGCCTCAGAATATATAGTGTGAATAATTGATTTTTCGAGGAAAAAGCTTTCGATAAACAGTGTATGAAATCTGTTGCAGTGATTACGTTGGTGAAAATTGTGTTGATGAAAAGCGCGCGTTGAAGTTGGTGTCCGTTGAGAAAATTGTTCCGCTCATGTGTTGATATAATTGTGAAATGAATCACTTATCTAGGATTGAAATACGTCATTCATGAATGCTGACAATCGTTAGTGGTCCACATTTCATTCTGCGATTCAGCGTGATTTTTGCGTGTTAAATTAATTGATGCCCTGAGTGATCTGATTCGAGGTCTGTGACAAGATGCCTATTGTTCTTCTGGAAACGAATATCCCGGCGGCGAACTTTGACAAGGATTTCCCTAGGAAGCTGGCGAACATCGTATCAGAAACTCTGAGCAAACCTCTGAAGGTGCGTGTCCTTTGTTTGGGTATGATTGAATTTGTTATTTTTTATACATTGGAAGTGTGTCATGCGTTAGATGGACCATAAAAAACTATCTGTTAACGATACTTTTTCCTGCGTGCTGGAAGGTGCCATCTTTTAGGATGATAATGATTTTCAGATCTCCTTCTCAATTTACACCATTCAATATTTTGTGACTCAATTTAGTTCGGAATGAACCCTGTGGTAAAAAATTATCTCTACAGACTATGCTCACATTTCAATTTACGGTATGTTCCATCACTGGCAAAACTTCATTGATCGAATTCATATCCTGTATTTATTTCTTGACGATGTTATTTCCTGGATCAAATTATTTTAAAAATATATTCCCTTCTTGTATACAGTATTTTTATGCATAATTTACGCGTAAAACTTGGGTTTTATTGGGAGATATATTGGTTTTAGTTGAAGCTCAGAAAATGTGTGGCTGCTGGTCGTTTCGTGATTTTTAGCTATTTTTTGTAGTTTTCTATTTATTTTAATCGGGGGTTTCTTCGACAATAAAAACTGGCGCTAGAACCATTAATCGTATGCATCAATCGCAAGGAAGCAGCTGTAAGAAATGGTTTCTCTTGCCTTGCTCGCGAAATATACTGCCAAAAACTAATGAATCTTACAGAAATGGAAGAAGGAAAATTAGCGGAAATCAGACAATGCTGTCAAAATAAACGCCACAATAAACAGTCGTTTGAACCTTCAACGACGAGACACGCTCTACACATTAAAAATGTAATGAGCTTTTGGCTCTGCAAAGCAATCATACTTATACTGTACTGTATATCATTTTCGTCAAGACTTACAGTTCGAGCTACAAGACGAGCACATTAAAATGTCTATCAGACTTGATATTTCATGAACAAATGTACATCAAAGGTGCGTAGAAATCGCTTCAAAAACTGCTGGGCTTCTCCAGAAAAGCTTGAAAATATTGAGGATAATTTATTTGCAAGACATTTTTTGCTATTAGTTTCTCTCATCGTGATTGCTTAAATCCAAGTGGCATGTGTTGGATTTTCCGTAGATGAATTAAATTCTTGAGTAACATTTTTAAAATCTTTCAAAATTTACTGGAAGATTCTCCTAATGTTTTATCTTAACATGAACTAGTTTCTGTTCTAATCTTTTCACATTTTTTATATTATTCGTAAACATCCATGTCTTCACATGGATGCATGCTGCAACCGAGTTTTTTTTTATTTCCTTTCCCTCAGTCTTCAGCTTCATGAAATAGTTTCAAGACGAAAGCTGAAGAACATGGGGATTTCTTTGTGGTTTATCGAAGTGTACTCTAAGTAGTCCAAGAGGCTCTGACAAGATTTATAAAATTACCTTAATCGTAAACATCCATAAGTTTATTGCGTTAATTATGGCTTTTGAAATCCATCAAATCAGTTTGAATTTTCAATTTTTTGATGGTGAGAAATTCATTTCAGGCTTCTTCAGCTTTCTCTGTGAAAAGATTCATACTTTTTCCCGGTGCTTTTTATGTAAATCACGTTTTGGGATAATCTTAAGTCTGGAATATCAATGCAAAATATCTAGGACATCCACGACCTTGATAGAATAATGCTTTTCAACGAATTGCGCATGAAGAGGGGAACAACTGAAGCTGCCTCTTAAGGTTCTGATCTCTTCTAAAAAATGAATTTATTCATGAATGCATAAGCTAATAATGCGGGGACTTAGTTTTGAATTATTCATACCGAGATTTCTTCAGCTCGGGATTTTTCTTCAGGGATGCTAGGAATTGCAATCTACAATCCTCTGTTGATGCAAACAAAATTAAAAATTGATGAGCAGATACATCGTCTGCTCCGAAATTGGAAGCTTGTATTTCAACAATCCAACTTCTGTGTGGCATTCTATTTTCATTATACGTTTTCAATCGGTAAAAGTTTCAAGGACGTAACAGAATTTTCCATTTTGATAACGAGCAAAACATACATTTTTTAAATTAAATCTCAAGGTCATACTGGCCTTCGCATAAACAAATACTGTACACAAGTAGGAACCTCTACGGAAAGAAAAAGGATGAAATTACATGGAGGTCCAAGGAGAAAATTTCGGATTAAATTTAGCACTCGAATTACCTCTTGATTTTTGTATTTTTATTCAGTTCTGATCTTCCCCAGGAACATTTTCCCGGGGAAATCCGAAGTACTTCGCGTTGAGATTTCTCCAGGGGCTTCTTATTACATAATGATTTTCGAACGTTTGTGCGTACTCCCCTTTTTTGCAATTTTTTTTCTCAGCGATGAATTATGTTTAGGATGAGAAAAGAGGCTTACGGAAAGAAGATTTCGTGCGACACTGGTGGAAAGTCCGAGCATTAGAGTTGAAGCACGCTAGCACTTCCTTGAAATCAAGAGGAAGTATAAAATCGCGTTTTTCGAGTTTCTGTACGTGCAAAAAATGTTTTGCACGTTAGTGTTTTGTCTTCGCGAGGTTAAACGACATCATCCGCACATTTACTTAATTTCTCAGTGTTTTCGTCTAAAATTCGCAGTATTTTCGATAACTTGAAATAAAGAGAAGCAGAATTATAAGAAAATTATTTGCTAACTTTTAGCTTTGAATTTTTGATGGAAAAGGAAATACATTTATAATTTTTCGCTAACTTTTCCTCGAAATCGAACTAAATTCCTTTCTGATTGAAAAATGAAGTCCTTTTTCCAAGTAGAAAAATATTCGAAAATACTTGATACGCGTTTGCAATGGTTTTCTGTTAATGGATTAATAATTTATTGAATTAATGCATTCAAGCAAGTGAAAAGTTGACCGAAATTTAGAAAACATTCTTATTGACCTGGAATATCCTTTTTCCTTTTATTTTTTCTGACGTTGTTGGACGTGAATAACAAGAATTCAGCACCCGTACTTCTTGAATTACAGTATTCATGGTCAGAATGTGGCATGGCGGAAGAATTTCCCGTATTTGATCTTTATGGATCTTTTATGTGATCGTGCTCTCGTTCGATCTCGGAAAATTGAGTTTTGTATTATCTCGGAAATCCATGATGATTTATTTCCATCGAATCCCTAAAACTTGGCGTAACTTCAGGCTTTTTTATTATTATTCAATCACCACTGGGTTCGCGAAACGTTTGAACTACATTTATGTCACTCGTTACTCAAGTGATCTGTGATATTCATCAACCAAATTGAACATTGAAAACGCCTGTTGAAAAATGACCGACGTCTTCATATTTTTACTGGATCTCCGTAATTATTTTGTTTGATTGACGTGCATTTTGTGTTCAACGGGGTAGAAATATGTGAGGTTTCAAAAGCAGATTTTTTCCGCTTTTTCTTTGTAAGAAAGCGAGATCGATTTCGCAAAAATTCTTTTTAATTTCGGTGGAATATGTAAAAAAAATATATATAGTTAGATGCCACATCACTGGGGATTTTCCCAATTTATGTATTCCCCAAGTGAGATCTGTGCCTTTTAGAGCCGTTGTGCTCAGCCAAAAAATCCTTTAATATTTCGTTATTCTGACAGTTTTCCAATTTTCAGTAAAATTACATTATTTGCAGTTCCTGAATAAAAGTTGAACTCGGGGGAATATTGTGGATGAGTATCAGTTCAACTTTTATTTCTCAGAACTGAAATAAATTTTATTCGCAGAACCGTTTCTGAAAATACAGTACAGTAACGTAGTTTTGAAACAACGGAGTACATTTCGTCGTAAATCAAACAAGGTAAAATATATTCCATTATGATGATTTAATTTATTCTACCACTAGTTGAGTTCAGCATTAAAATCAAAAAATTTCCTTTTCGTCAAATGCGTTTTATCTTTCGCCGATAAATTTCCTTCAAAATTTTTTTTCTCTCGCGAAAGTGCCACGTTTGCAGAAATTTGTCCCACACAACATATTCTGGTTATGATTAACTCACATACCGAATAAGGTCCATTATAGAGAGTCGTATTAGTATACTGCATTTAGTTGGCAAATCGGATTTGAACCCCTGTTTTTTTTTTCTCATGGGAAGAACGAACTTTCCCTATGACCCCCGGGGAATTCCGCGGGATCTGAATTATAAACAACTGTTTCACCCCCTGTGCGGGGTTTCTTCTGTCGACGACGGAATTGCTGACGTGGGCCGACAGGGAATAATTTATGGACCCGAGACCCCAAGGGGAATCCCGACACTCGACGCAAAAGAATTTATTTTTGTTTTTGTTTTATATTTTGCTTTCTGGAGATTGGGTTCGCGAAAGGATTTCCTTCCTCGACTCCTCCGCGTCTGGGACCAGTCAATGATAAATGAAGGAAACCCCGATTTTGGTTCCCGATTTGATTCCTTTCAGGGATAAACAAAATTGCAAAGCCAAACTCTGCTGGTTTAGACGCAAAAAAAGAAGCCTCTGAGCAAAAATTCTTAGTTGTGAGAATTATACTGCATTAGTTTTGGACTGCTGATGATCAATCAGTTCCATTGGATGATATTTTTTCTTTTGTGTAAAGATACACTTTTTCTTTTATTTATGTTTTTAAAAATGAAAAAATACTGCCCAAGTTGACTGGTGGGCGTAGCCAAAAAGTTACTGCCCTGTTCGAATTTATTGATTCATATTTACCACTTTTTCTTCATTTCATGGATAAATTGTTTTGAAAATGTCACTTCTGGCAATAGCGTTCTTATTTTACCATGATTATTTCTATAAGTTCCATCTGCTTCAGAATTTTATCAGAAATGAAAATGCATATATTGTTACAGGAGAGCATAAAAAGGATATTTGAGTCCCCTGGTAATTTTTGAAATACAATAAATGTTATAAATTTCAATTCTTTGAAGTTGACGACCAATTTGCCGCCAATTGTAAATATTTCTACGCCTTTTATCGGAAAAATGAGAAAAACAAAAATATTGACCTTTCCAGCGCTACTGCGCTGTATCTTTTCTGAGTATGCTTTGCTAAATATAGGAACCAATGCAATATGGACTCTGATTGGTTTCAGATTGCGTGCTTCCACGAGACGAACCCAAATATATATTTTTTTTTATATGTTGACCCATTCTTCAAATATCATCCAGGGACACACCAAAATAAATTCTGGGCAACGGACTCGTCGCTTTTTCTCGCAGAGAAGATGGAGCCAAAGAATTGAATGCAGGAAAGACATTCTTTGCACGTGTGGATTCGATCCCAGTATATATTTATATATATATACAGTATACATATATACCAGTTTGTCTCACACAAAAAATATTTCTTTTGTACATTTCGTTATAGTACGATTTTTGACGCCAGCTGCCAACGAACATCCGACATCAGAAAGGAACTCGTATATTAAGAAGGAACTTTAAAAAATCTAAGACGTAATAAACTTATAATTGACAATATTTCTTGAAAATATTAATTGGAAGGGATTCATTCAGTGGATATTCGACCATTTGCATGAGTTCCTCTAGATAATTGAGCATCATTTTTTCAGTTATATTTTTTTCATTGCGGGATATGTCAAAACCGGCAGGAAATTTCGTGAGAAAAAATTCAGCGAATTTTTTACGCAATATCATCCGATTATTATTCTGAATCATGTTATTGTAAGGCGTAATGTACATACATGATTTAAGCTGTCATTTAATTTTAGTTCACCGCTTTTTCGTGTGTTTCGGCACCTTTTTTCAAGAATAACCGACAAACTTTAGAATCAGGTAGAAACCATTACTAAATAATAATAAAAAATTCTTGGTAGAAACAACTGACATGGCGCATTCATTTGGCACTCATTTTCTTCTCGGTGCTCATTCTCCTGTATTCAAAATACGTGTTTATGATGGCATGTCATCGTCTATCCCTCGAATAGTTGATCTCAAACTTTTCCAGGGGTAAACAAAAGTTCTGGGTTAACTTCGAAGATTACGGCGGAGTGAAAACAAATACTGTATTTGCGTAGTCACAGAATATAATCCTGGGATAACACGAAATTGAACCTCCAGTTTTTTCTTACAAGGTCAAATGCTTTAAACATTTCTGGATGTATATTACTGCATATGGTTTCAACAACCAGATTGGGATGCGTAATTTATTATGCGTTATGGGGAAGGTCCCTAAATGATTTGGAATTCGTTGTTCACCCGATATATTTTAGGCGACATGATGACTGTTTTTTGTGAGTATTGTTTCATGTGTTTTTTATTTGCAGAGGATTTCGGTGCGGCTGGATGCAGGTGTGACCTTGTGCAGGAATGGAACAACTGACCCAACTTGCAATCTGCACGTGACAGCAATTGGCGTAGGCCTGAACACCGATGAAGGAGCAGTTCAAAGCGCTGCCTTCACTAACTTCCTCATGGAGCACCTCCATCTACCAAAAGACAAGTAAGACTGTGAATTCTCAGCAGTTTGCTCTGGGTTCAAAAAGATGTCACCCGCAGTAGCACAAGCTAAATCAAGGGAACCCATTTTGCTGCTGAACTAGTGTTTCTAGTTCTGTTTCTAGTACTGTACTGTACAATGAGACCCCAAAATGTGGACACCTTGATATATGGACAATTTGACTTAGGGGCACTTGAATTTTTAAAAAGTTGACCAACATCTGGACACTCTTCCAAGATTTCTTGAAGAATTTAAAATTTTAATTCCACCGATTTTTTGTATTTCTTGAATAAATTGAGCTATTTACAACTGAAAATAAATATTGTGAAATTACCCTAAAGTATAATCAAAAACAGGCTAATTTTGTGCTTTTTTCAGTTTTCTTCCATATATTATGTGTGCTCAGTATAGCAAGACTTGTTCTTGTTCTTTGCTTCTTGAGCTCATTCTGAAGCCAAAAGATCAGATTCTGTACAATTTTCTTCTGAACATTTAATTTTTTTGTACGAGGGTTTAGAAAAAATATTTCATTTTATTTTTGAGGGCTTTTTCTCAGCTATTTATCTAATGAGAACCAATTGAAAAATATTTGCTTTGAAGTTTATGGGAAAACGAGTTCTGACATGCGGACATATTCAGACTTGTGGAACAAGGTCCATGAACCAATTACGTCCGCATCTTGGGGTCCGACTAAGTCACTAAACTCTATTTATATTTTACTTCTTGAGGAAATCTTTTTCGCGCATTTCTGGAATTAATTCCACGCTACATTCCTGTGCAAGACATACATTACTATCTGCTGAACAGATTTCAAAGGAAGGTTTTACGCAAATAGTTCGCTGAGAAATTACATTCACTAATGCGATATGAAAGCCAAGCATGATCGGAAAGAAGCTTCAAGCTCATGCAGGCGGGAGGGGGCAAAATGTGTCTAAGAAATTGCGTTTATATCTGATGCATTGGAGCTAGAACTCTTTTTTTTACTCCAATGAGATTCATTTTATCATTACAGTATAAGAAAAAGGCTAGATAAATGTCACAGGAAGGAAAAGACCATTACGGTGATCGGTTTAACGCAGCTGGTAATCAAATATGTTCTATAAATCATGGTCTCTTGGGTATTATTCTTCCTTAAAACTTTCGGTTTAAGAGTCACAAAAAAATGGATTAAGCATCTTACTGGGGATATAATTTTAGAAATTTATTTTTACTGAAAACCCTGGTGCGCATCTTACTCAAGGGCTCGTGCTACTCAATTAAATTACGGTAGTCTCTCTTCAATGTTCCATTTTTTTCATGAGATTTGGGAAACCTTTTCTAATTTGTTGGATTTTCTTTCCAGGGTCTTCGTGTACTTATACCCTATTGAGGCATGCCAAGTGGGCATGATGGGCACAGTTGCGTCCGCATTGTGAAGTTTTATTCCCGATTACAAGTGATGCAGTTCATTGGCGCCGCATGTTGATGGACATCATCAGACACCGTCCCTGAGACATCTGTCGACTAAGTTCACCACAGAAACTGCAAAACAGTAGTAAACAAAAAGCAGAAACACAAAAAAAAACATCCCAAGAAGTAGCAAAAAAGTGTACAGCAAACGAGGATCCTCGAAGAAGGATCTGCTCCTGCATAATGCGCAGTTAATTTGAATTTATAGCGACTGATCAACAAACTGTTGGAATATTCCCCATTGAAAGCCAACGTTGATGGGCGTTGACGTCAGAAAAAAGCTTTCAATTCAAAACTATGTCTCATTCCTGAAGGAATCGATCTTTCAAGCATCAATTTGATCATTAGGAGAGTGTTTTAGTTCTCACTTCGAATTTCAAATCATGGGGATCATGGACCCGGCGTGCGTGAAATTTCAAATAGATGATATGGTTTTGCTAATAACCACAAAGTCAATAGAGCATTTTCAAGGTTTCATCTAATATCACCAAGGCATTGTAAATTTGCTGGAAAAATGGTTTCAATTTTTTTTCTTGAAGGAATTCATCATCTTTGAAAATCATTCATATAATAATTAGAATAAATTAATTTTTATGCCAACTACCTTCTTTGAGTCGCCAGGTTCTTACGTTTTTCAAAATTCTCTTTTTTGTCAATTTCATATAGATTCAGAGCCAATGTTTCTTCGGAATTTTTTTAAACTTTTCTCTGCCTGGATAATACCGTGTTTTATGCTAATGTAAGACGCTCATTCCAGACTTCAAATAACAAAATCTTGCGTCTCAAAATATTCCGCGATTCTCATTCAAGATTCATGAGTTGAAATTTCAGTCAATTGATTTGAACTCTTGGAACAGTTAGTGCAATTCAAGTCAGTTTAGACTTTCAGCCTGATTGTAACCCGTTTAACTGGCCAATAGAAAACTGAAACTAGTCCATAAAGGTGATGAAACATTTGGGCATGTTTTCCTTTGCAGTGCAATTTTTTTTTTAGTGAGAATGTATTGTCGTAACATTTATTGCTAGTCACTTCACTTCTGAGAAAATCGGAATGAAACCACGATTGAAGTTTCTTTCTTGGAACGTATTGTTTTCTAAAGCTATTTTAAGTTCAAAAACTGAAGCAATTTTTTATTTACTGCGTGCAATATTCTGTATTTACTCAGGCATTATTTGAAGCAAGTGTCTTAGGCGCGCTGGTCATTTTTTTTTATGGACTAAGAAACCACGTGTGTCTCGGAGTGGCGTCTTAGTTTTGCCTGAATTTGTTATTTCAGTGCTGATTTTAAATTGTGTGTAACCCTCTTGATGTTTCATACCGTCCAACGCTTGGAGGAGGTTATTTGACTTTGGTTTCATGTATAGGCTCAACATCTTGAAAATTTTAGAATTTTTTCTGGACAAAGTTTGTGATAGATACAAATTGCTCCTCAGAAACTCAAAGTTCTAGAGAAATTTTCCTGATTTTGTGGAAGTGATGAAGGCATCGAGCAATAATCAAGTCTACCATGACAGAAGTGTTCAGCACGCAGTTCATCAACATGGAAAGAATTCGAGTTGCTCACTGTTGAGTAAAAATTATGTGTGAATGGACAATAAAAACAAGGATGAAGGAAAATGCGGTTGGGAATTCAAAGTATCAATCGAATTATCACTTTGTATTCCTTTTAGTCACAATATTGGTAAGTTACAGAAAGCTGATTTCATTGCACGGCGTTTGACGAAGTTTTAAAAAAATACGGTTGAATTAGCTAAAATATTTTTTTGCAAAAAAAAAATAATTTCTACGGCAGCATTATTCTTTCTTAGCCGGAGCATTAGTTTCCGCGTCCTCGGATTTCAATTTCCGGGCGTCATCTATGGAAAGTTTTTCCAACTTCACGGACTTGTTCCAGTCCTCGTCCGTTTTTTCCAGAGTGATGAGAACGTTGTACACATCGTCGTCGAATTTGGGCTTGGGTTTGTTCTTCTGGTAACGACGGGGTTGTCGAGTATGACGGGTTTCGGATGACTCGTGATCCGATTCTGAACGTTTTGCATAACGTCTCTGGTAAGACACCTTTTCTCGATTCTCATCTCTGGCTTTTTGTTCTTGATTGATTCTTGGATCTGTAGTTGCTTGCAGAGACTCTTTTTTCTGGGATGGAATTTCTTCATTTCTGAGCTCTGATCTTCCACGCTCAACATCATCTAAAATGTAAAATTATTTCCAGTAAAATATATTCTGTGAGACTCACAAATTTTCACAGTATGCTATTCTGTCTCAAAAAAATCTTCCAACTTTAAACTATTAACTCTTTGTAAAGAAATCAAGGAAGAATTTCATGCGATTGTATGAATGATTGCACCAAATTTTAAAAATTTCCTAGAATAAAAATTCTCAAAAGCTCAATGGAGAAAAAATACAGCTATTGAAAAATAGCAAGTCTACCATAACAAGAAAATGTTGATGCTGCGCCAGATTACACTTAATTTTCAAGTCGTCAAATCTAAATGGAGTTTCACTTAACAAATCGCAATCTTCAGATTGTCACAATCTGAAAATGAATTAAAACAAGAGAAAAGTTAGTTCTGAATTTCTTGAAAAACTTCACCAACATTAAATACGAATAACCATCGGATTACACGTGTCTTCAAACTTCAAGAACCTCTATTCATTTTTCTCTTGGTAGAACTTCAAATTCAAAATCAACTTCGGAATCTCAGTAAAATTTCAAAACCTACAAGAACTGGAGAGCATTTTTTTTCTAGAAAAACAGTACGTCAGCAATAGAGAATCCATGAATTATTCATGCTTGGTAGTACAGTAGCTCATTCTAATGTTATTGGATGACAACGAACATTTTTCAAAGCGAGGTTTTGAAATAAATAATCTATCTCCATACAATGTCGCAGGTGACTCGCAGGACTAGTCGTTAGAAAAATCCCCGGGGGGGGGGGGAAGCACACTCACCTGAACGATTTTTTGTTTTCCACCAAATTTTCTTCTTTCCATAATGAGATGATCGTGGTCCATGTCCTTGACTGGTATTGTCAGCAGCAGGATCAGTATACTGAAGGGTATGTTGACCTTTCGAGGTACTGTCAAACTTTGGGGTCAGGTCATCAACCTCACATTTTCTGTACTCTTCATTGCGTGTTACGTGAGAACCGCGTTGGTCCGTGGCAACATTACGTTTTGGATAATAGATTGAATCCTCTGCAATGTATTTCTTATTTCGGTCATCATCTGTCGTTTCTTTCCCAAAGTGCAAATTCCGATGAACGCTTCGTTTCCCATCCCAGAATCTGTTGCTGTGATTGCCGAAATTTTGAGACTTTCTTGCATTCTCGTCACGTGATCGTTCAAATAATTCGCTGTTCGGGTCGGGAAGGAAACCCGGGCGGGGTTCTGGCTTTCTGTAAGCCAAAATACCGCGCCCTCTGCCGCGCCCACGATGAGTCTTGCTCACACTTCGGGCATCACTATTGGGCTGGTCATCAGGTGAGTCCCTGACATCCACGGGTTTTGCAACACCAGCAGCAGCTGGAATTCCAGATGATGACGAACCCATCGTCGGATTTATTGGTTCTGAAGAGGCGTCGACGTCGGGTGGATTATCCGGCAACGCATTTTCCGACTCAGTCACTTTGTCAACAGCACTGGGCTCGGGTTTCGGGTCGGAATCGACTGTCGTCTTCGGTGTTGATGGAATGTTCGGAGCTTTTTCTTCTTCTTCGGACATGCCCACAAACGGTTCTCGAAATGAAAGCAGTTTTATATTTGTTGATCAGGGACACAGCACTGATTTTTCTCTGTAAATGACAGTTCTGTATTATTTTTTTTTAAAGTTGAACCATATCAACCATTTCATATTTTTACGATACCGATACGACGCCGGATTTCCGGCAGTAACTTCAAGAAGAAATTTCGTATGAGCCGCCATGTTATTTTAATCCCGGGAAGGGGAAATATTAGCCTCTACACAGACAAAACACAAGTACTGTACGTTCATTTCCCGGAAAGAATTTCCATTGTTTCGGAGTCTCCAATACACTGACTCAAAATTACTACGTGCTGGACATCTGGCTCAATATTCGAGAACTGCTTTAAATACTGATCCCATGAGAAAAATATTACAAATGTGAGTCAGCATGCGGCAACTTCTTGTCATGAATCTGATTTTTAATACGGTAACCATGATGGTCATATCAATGTTTCTGGTGTTTCAGAAAGTTATGATTGAAAAATAATCGAAAATGCTTTCATTTGAATATTTCATGTTAACTGCAACCATTCAGAAAATACAAGAGGACTCTCTCTATAGTGATCTTGTCTACAACGATTTTCTCCGTATAACGACTTCTTTTCTTGAATTTGTTGGGGAGAGAGAGAGAGAGAGAGTCCACCTGCATAATTCCAAAAATGTCCTCATCGTGAATTTTCACTTCACTCGTTTTGCGCAATTTTTGTATCAATGTACACTTTTTGCATCAGTGAATTTCGCATTAAATTCAGGTATCGTGCCCAGTACTTCCTAAATGCATCAATTCAAGTAAATATCGGTTAATTTTCCTTTCTGGACGCTCGAATTTTCTCGCCCCAGTCGCCCGTATTGTTCTAGACTGTCCTTTCACAAAAATCGGAAGGATTAACTGTTTAAAAATCAATTTTCTACATTATCTAGGAATTGCGTTTATTTATTACTACTATCACTCACGAATTTCGAAAGGATACTCAGCTTATTGCAGCAATTACGGAAGCTTAGCATTTTCACACAATAAGTCTCAAGAAAAAGTACCCCTTCCGACGTGAGATGAACAAATTCTTCCTCTGGCAGAAGGAGTCACTCTAGAAAATGACTCGAGAAAAGGCTCACTTCAAGAGCAGAAAATATTATGCACCCAAAAATTGTTTTCAAAAACTCCATGGAAAATCACGTTTGTAAAACCTTACTCGATGGCGTACGTTTAGTACCACACACGTCAGTGGTGAAATACTTTTCCACAACTGGAACCGCACTCGGGCGCGGTGAGGTGTACATAATCAAAACGCACTGATCCAGGTCACCATGTACGATCAGGAAACCGTGACCGAAATTGAGAGCATGTTTGAATAACATGGTCCATAAATGCGACAGGTGAAGACAAACAATGCACTCAGCTGGAACGACCGTCCGATTCAAGACACGAAATGGTCCGTGGGAAATTCCCCACCACAGACGCATGCATCAGGTGAAAAAAATTAAAATGCGTTTCCATGAAAATATCCCTACACTTGAAATAAGTCCTAGGGAAAATTTTTCAGACATTTCATCGAATAAGACTCCTGTCCCAAAATATCCACCCATTGAGAGTACCACCTGGCACGGAATCGGAAATTACAGTACTGTACAGTATAGTCGTTAGACTTCAAAAGGTGGACCTCGTCGTATCACTAGAGCTTGAAACAGTAGAGGGAAATACCGAGAGATTGATCTACTCGAAAATTAAGAGCATCATCGCTAAATTTTGAAACAAAAGTGATTTACAGTGACCATCTGCTCAATTTAAGAATGCCGTTACCCGTTAGTAAAAGAACAGACAAAAATTAAAAAAGCCCTCGCAACAGTAAAAAGAATATACACATTGACTTCTGGAAAAACGAATACATTAAATTATGATCGGAGCGACAAAAAAATATTCAGGCTAAGAAATCAGAACAAATTGAAAGCAACAGCTGCTTGGATTCCAAGCTTTCTTTATGTGACAGTTTGATATTGTACCCATGAATGCTTCACACCTGATTCTATTACATCGAAAATCCACGTCAAATCTCTTATTTTTAGGAATTCACCGCGGTTTTAAATCCACTAAGGAGACATAAAAAAGGGTAACTGTAGTTCTTTATAACAAGACAAGTACAATAGCTTTTGAAAATAAATTCACAATTGTGACACACTCTAGGCGAAATTTATCTCGGAATATTCAAGATAGCGATGTCGTTCCCTTCGATAAGATGCCTAGCAATCTACAATCTCGCAGCATGAACTCAACTCCTAAACCCAATATCTAGATTCTAGAGGAAAGGACTCTCAAAACAGCTTCGATTGATAGCAATAACTCCGTGACACAGACAATATCACGACGTTCCGGATTCTCGCGCGTACCAGCCAACACTCGCTAACGAACTCTGCGCATCTTCACAGGAACACAAAGGAACCCAAGTATGAATCACACGCGCTATATCCATCCCTCGCCGAGTTAAGCTCTCATTCCAGATCGAGTCTCCCCTGCTGCGAAACGGTTGAGTGAGTTCAGACGCATCGAATGAATCGGTACAAGTACTGCATGTCAGAACTCCTTCATATCTGCAGAACCCAAATTTCTAAATATCTCCAGCTAATGTATTTAAATTATCACTCTCCTTGACGAAGTCAAAAATAAAAAATTGTTTTTTTATGTAAAACGTAACTGAAACTCAACCCTTCTTTCTTCAGCTCAGGAAATCCTAATCTATCTTATCTCGTCGCCATACGCATCACACTTACTGTATTTCCTAATACAGTACAGCTTCCTTCACGTGTCATTTATACTCCGAAAAATTTATTGAAGTATGCTTTTTTTTTCAAAAATAGCCACATGCACCTGACAGTGACAAACACCTAATTCTTCGAGTTAGCCAAGTAAAAACGAAATTTAATTTAATACCTAGATTGCAACGTGAAATGACCGATTTTTGACCTCTCCGGTAAAAAAAATTCGGTTGATTACAACCCAAAGAAATCGTGTCCACCGTCCTCATTACATATATGATTCTTTAGAAGAGAAACTCAAGAACTTAAACTCACCCGCATTATCGCAGCACATATGGTAGGAAGACGTACACCAAAAGAGAGGACGAAGCGGGTTACGCACAAGCGATGTCCAGATTTTCCTCGGGACAACTTTCACTGGAAATTCCTACACACGTCAAGAGACCGGACATTCTACCCAAGCGAAGACTCATGGAAAGGGAATGACGAAGTACAGCACAGTAATCATAAATAAATGTTTTACTGGTGCCTCTGAAACTTTTCAATTCGAAGCGTCACCGGCAGAAATAAATCGGGGTTCTTATTCGTAAAAAATAAATATTTTCAAAGAATTAAAATTCAAAACATAATCGATTCAAGGTCAAGAAACATAAGCAACGTAGAAAACAAAATAATTGATGACAGACTTCCGGGCAAATGAAATTCACTTCAGTCTTTGCGATTTGTTTTCGGAAACCGGGAACGACGTTTCTGACTGTCCCAATTTAAGTTTGCCCCCGAATGACCTTTTTTCGGCGGGGTTTTAAGAAATACGTCACATTTTTTTGCCACCTCATCTGGAATAATATAGGAATTCCGCTTCAGCTGTCCCACATCCGGCTCGTGGTATTCCGGACAAACACTTCTTCCCGAAGAGTCTCTCCAAACAGGTGAGCTCACAAGCCTCTTATTCAGTCTGTAGTAATGCACACCTGGAAAGCAAAATACTACTGTTTAAAAAAACGTCTCGAAGGCTGTCAAGAAAAATATTGAGCAGTGGAAAGATCAGTACTTGCAACGCGGGGAAGCAGGGCATCTTAATGTTGAAATTTAGTCAAACATGGTTGAAAAAGATCGCTTAGCCTTCAAGCATGAGAACAAACGTTCGAAAACCGGCTTTCATAGCCTTATTTTCTAAAATATTCCAACCAAAACTCATCTTAATCTAGTTATGAACCCTAAAGCAGTTTTAAACTGTGACGACTGAGTTGAAAATTAGAAGGAAAATAAAACTCCGACTGCCAGTGATGCCCACCCAAACGGAAAAAATGACTACCTTCTATGGACAGGAGAAAATGCTTCATACGAAGTACAATACAAATGTTTTTTCGCCCAATAATTTTCAACTCACTAAATATAATCTACGAGATAAGACACTCAAAAAATGATTACTGGAACAGTACTGACATTTGTGAGGCTGGTCAAGGCCGGGAATCATCGGCTTGGAAGCAACGCACGTTGCTTTGTTACGTTCTCGAAATTCCTTCAGCCGCTGCAATTAAAAAATAAATGAATAAAATAATTTACATTGAAATCAGGTGCACAAAATTGAATTCGTAAAACTCAAAAATTCTACCTGAAACCACGCTTCTGATCCATCGCAGAGGTCAGAATTCCCAGCGCTCTCCGACAAAACTCGTCGATTGACGCTGGAGGATGATATACAGGTCGCGTCAGAAGAAATTACCGCATCGTTTATCTGGAACGAATGAAACGCAGATACCTGGATACTGATGCGACTTTATAAAATCCGTTAGAATCAACTGAATAAGGGCGTAAATCGACAGCAAGTTCAAGATACAATACTAACTCGGCTTCGAGTCGTGCGGCTTAAAGCATCGTCACTCGCAGAATCAGCTTGATCAAGAAAATCGGACTTTTCTTTCAAAAGTTTCCTCAGATACTTCGACCTCGGAACGTATCCCTTCAAAGAATCTCCAGAAACCAGGTTTTCCTTATCACTGAGGCTCCGTTGCGACGGAACAGATGCGGAGTCTCGAGACTTTGATCTCCCGCGTATTGTGGAATCATCCGTTCTAGTGGATGAATTAGAACGAAGAGTTGAACGGAGACTTCCGCTCGTTGAGCGAGTCGACCTTCGCGGCGCAATTAACTATAGGAAAACAATTCGCAATTACGCAATATTCAAAAAATTGGGAGAGGGTTTCAAGCGTAAACAGTAAGCAACAAGACGTCCGTAACATACTGAACCATCACCCCTTGCAGGAAAATGTATAGTATCGGGAATAACGGGCAGTGGGAAATTTGCAATCCACAGAATTCATATAGTACTCTTGATTTGTTGATACAACAGAACGTAAACGCTTATTTTTCCTGAAATGTTAAGGTCATGAAAACAAATTTTTCAAGAGTTTAATTGATTCATCAAGATATTCCATGTTGAACTAAGAAATGTACAAATGTAATGCGCAGTGAGAAATTTCATTTTCCTGCTTTGTCCATCAGAATGAAATATTTTTTAATGCGGGTAGATGTCACTGGCAGTCACGACGTTTATAATATTTCTGCGCTCCTCTGCGTGTACGAACATCTTACAGGTGCTTGTAATTGTTTCAGGTGAAATAAGGTAAAATAACGATGACCAACATTCTGCAATTGAAGCCTTAAGTCTTCTAAAACATATTTCACCAACTACAGACTGTTTCTGCATGCAAATGAATTATACTGGAATAAACATAACCATTGTCATTTGGTTTTGAATCTGAACATCAAAAAATTGAGCAAACCTCTGAACTTCTCTGGCTTCCAAGCGGCGAAGCAATAGAATACCAAGATCCTATTCTAGCGGGTCTTTCCATATCATGAGCAAAACCTGTGCAATTCGGATTTTCCCCCCACAATTCTTCCAATTTTCGGTCTATTCTTTCTGTCAAGAGTCGCACAGCCTGAGTCACACTTGCCAAACTTCCTTTGCCACGGATCGCCTCTGCGTGACGCAATTGAAGCTCGATGGCGTTCTCATAAAGATTTTCGACTTCATAATCCCGGAAATGGCGCGATTTCCGAGGAATTCGGATGGCTCCTCTCGCTTTCACACTTCTCGACATTCAAAGATGCTATCAAGTCTATGGAAGATGTAACATTCGGAAATAACTTTTTGATCGCGAAAAACAGAAACCACATTTTTGAGAGGCCCAAAAGGTTGAAGAAAAAATTCGTCGGGACTCGTTAAAAATGCATGTGAAATATTCACCATTTGCAACTCAATTTCCACTCTTATCAGCCGATAGGAATACTGTACTGCCAGAAGCATGCCTTGAAATGCTGCTTTTTCAAATTGCTTCTTTCAAAAACTAGGGAAGCTGGAAATCATTGAAAGCTGAAAGTAAGCGTCGAACTTCGTGTTAATCTGATTGAAATATGTTGGATACATTACGAATCACGATGGCCATTTTGGTTACGTTTCACTCTTACAATTTTCTTGAAACTTTCGGACCTCATCCGGACTAAAAAATGCAAAAATACCGGGATTTGAGCCAAGTTCAACAAATATCATACGAGAGTCTTTCATTTCTTCTTTTTAAATTTCTCCTTCTGTTTCAGGATAGTCTTATACTCTGCTTCTTGACCCTGAAGAGACGAGATGAGTTTCTTGATCTTCTGGGTTTCTTCCGCATCCCGTTTGCGCTGTTCTTTGAACATCTCTCCAGCAACAAAAGCTGTATCCTTGCGAATCTCCTTCATTGCACCACGAGTTTCATCCTTTACACGTCGTTTCAAAATTTGCGACTCTGACTTCTGAGCTCTCCTTGCGTAGTGTCTTCGTTTCCCTTGAATGTACCTGAAATATAAATCACATGAATAAGATTGCGCCTTACAATCCAACAATCGAAGTTTCATCTAATAAGATACGGTATAAACTTACATTAATTTTCAAAGACTTTTTTTTGTAGTTGAGCTCTAACGCTCCAAACAATTTAAATAAAACTTACTCAGGATCAACTCTGGGTTCGTAAAGCCTCAACATTTTCGGCTTCTCAGCCTCTAGTAACGAGGCAGGTTTCTTGCAATTTCGTCGCATTATTTCGAGGGTTTTCAGAACCGAATTCAATTTTTCCTTCGACTGCGACGTCAAGTTTTCTTCAAACGTCACCAACTCTTGAAGAACAGATGTCACGACGGCAAATATTTCTGGCATTGACGGCGATCCGCTCAGAGCCTGGGCATACCCGGTCACCAAATCCAGCAGCTTTAGGAGTAAACTCAGTTTTTCATCTGCAGCCAAATTTTTAGAAGCATGCTGGACGGAACCTGGGTGAATCTCGGCTGCTTCCAAATCGTCACTAAAACAAAATTCGGTTCAAAACAATTTTTTAATGAGTGAACGCAATAAAAAAAGGCGGAGATAAAAAAATGACGTTGCTTTCGAAAAAATGTACACTCACCTAATTTCGTCAGGCTTCAAACATAAATCACATCGCTCTAAACGCAGAACTTCATACGGAAAGAGGCTCTTCAGCCGTTTTTCCCCGGGAACGAAAAAATTTAAAAGATTTATCAACACTGTCATTGCTTCCGGACTGTACCTCCCAGCTTCTTCGGTGTACTGGAAAATAAAACGAAATATAACAGTAAAAATGTATTCAAACAACCTAAAAATTTTAAAAATATCTCAACTGACCTTGAGCATAAGTTGCAAGCAATACACTGCCGAGAAAATCGAACGAGGTCGACTCAAGATACAACATGAGAAACACTGTGTGAGGAGAACTACTGCGGGTGTCGTAACAGAATGACGGAAGTCGGTTACCGGAAACAATGCTCCAGCTAACTGCACAAAAACAATCTGAAATAGAGGATTCAACGTTAATCGAAACTTGACAATATCGAAATGCGGAGGCATATTTTCTTCGATTGGACCACAAGAAAAAATGAGCCATAAATTTTCGAATATAAAAATCCATCGAATACTGTAAAACAATGACCCTAATTTGTTGCGCCTTGAAAAAAAAATTATGCCAGGAAAAAAAAAATCGTCACATCAAATTCATTCAGAATCAGAAAACTCCGTTCATCTTGGGCAAGTTTTAGTCTTCAGCTTATCACAATAAATACCATGATTATTACTCCCGCGCTCTTGAAATGAAAATTGTAAAAATTGTATCTGCTCACGTCTGTTTTTGTTTTCTTATTTATAGATTCTGTTCGTATAAGCACTTCGCCATTGAATTTAAGTAGCCGAAGAATATAAGGAGCACCTTTATTCTTTCAGTCAATCGTGCCCAATAAAACTCCCACTTAAATTGAAGTGAATAAAGTAATCGAGCAAAACTCACCACATCTAGTCCTGGATACTCTCGGGATTCGACAATCGCTCCATGCTTTTGTATCAAAACGTCTTGCAAGCATTGACCAGCAAATTGGGGAAACGACAACGCTAGTTTACACATGATTGGTAGCAAACATTCGATGCTCCGCAAATGTCTTCGAGTCGGATCCACACTACAATCATCGATATACTGAAGTAACGAAGTCCATAAGTTCATCAGCTCCGTCTTATTGACGTCATTTAATCCCGGATGGAACTTCTTGATTAAGGCTTCGACCATAACCGCTTCCTGCTCTGGGTGTTTTAGTGAGGTTAAAAGATTCACAAGAACGGTCGGATCCTCGAGAGCTAATAGGAAAAATTGAAGTGGAAATTGTTGTACTCCACTTCAAACCATACGCAGAACAATTGAATAAAAACTCACAACTCATGGACTCCATTTTTTCCATTTTCTTGGAACTAATGTCAGGTACTTCATCGATGAGGGATTCAATTATCTGCTCAATAGACTGTTTTGTCCTTCGATTGGCTCTGATGGGTTCATCCTCTTGTTCGCCCAATTCAGCACCCGGCCTTTCGAAATAAGATTTGAATTGAAAAAATTTTACTTAAAATAAGCTCAAACTAACCATTAAAAAGTAGGATACAGTACCTTCAAAATTTCGAATAACGATTGAAAAAATGGTTATATAGTTCCGCATCAAAACGGCTTGTTCGGTAAAAAATTATACAAGACAAATATTTCAAGTTTGTCTGACGAAAAGGCCAACAACTGAAATGCACATTTCATAATTACGACTAAAAAATTAAAATACTGTACTGTAATTACTTAAAAATTAAAATACTTTTTCTTCAACATCTGTTTATTTAAAGTAAGAATTTTTTTTAAATACAGTACTGGAATAGAGACCACTAGATTCGAGATCAAGAAAGACATTTTAAATAGTAAAAATCAGACACAACTCCCTTTTTGACTCTTTTTAGAAAGTGGTAATATATATATATATATGTATATATATACTGTATATATATATATATATATATATATATATGTTCATTTATTTAAAGTAAAAAATGCGACGCACAGAAAATCTTCCGGAAGAGCGTCTGCTGAAGCCATAATTTTTCGGGCCTTAATTACGCTTGCTGCCTGAACGGGAGGAGCCATTCGTTTCCGCTTTTCTTCTTCCAAGCGTTTTGTGAACTCTCTTTGAACTTCATCTGCCTCATCTTTCGGCATGGTCCTCTCTTTTCCTTGCTGATAATATCCGACAAATAAATCGTCAATCATCAATCAAATATGGAATTTACGCTTTCAACCAACTTGAGAAGTTGCACTCATCCTGAACTCTTGCACCAACATGTAATAATCATCAGGCTTAACAGGTTCGCGTTCGTCTTTCCGGACAGAAAGTTGCATGATTCCGCCAAGCTCTTTGAACTGTTCGTCGAGCTTTTCCGTGAGATCCACGGCCTGGTCCTTCTGTTTTTGCAGAACTGCTCGTTTCTCCCGCGTGGTTTTTATCATTTCTTCAAGTCGTTCCTTCCAAGTTTTCGAACCAGGAGTTTCGGATCGTTTTGTCAGAAAACCCCCAAACCTCGACTCTCCCATAAGGTCTGGAATTTTATTTTTTATTGATGATTTTTCATTCGAATTTCATAGAGGATCTCATTCAGAGAGAAATAACAATGAAAAATCCAATCTGCATTAGAAGACAAAAATTACACCTTATAGTAAATTTACCTTCATCTTCGTCCTCCTCGTCACTCCGAGGATCCTCAGTAAGATCAGCCGTTTCCGCAATGGCCTTTCCTCTATGAGTCAAATCTTCAGAATCCCCAAGATTGAAAATAGATCCCTTCTAAAAATTGCACACAGATCCATTTCTACTTAAAAATATACGATTAAAAGAACAAAATTTACCATACCGTGCGGTATTTCTTAACATGTTCTCGGGCAAATCGAGCGATCATTTTGTCCTCGGTGGACAAACCCTTGTCTCTCTCGCCAATCCTTTTGTCCAAAAACACGTTGGACTTCTTGCGCAATTGCAGTTCCGGCAACAAGGTTTCTTTTCGCTAAAATTGAGAAAAATATTCGATCAACTGGGCGAAAAACCGACCACAACAGAGGAACTTACGATTTCCAGGGCTCTCATCCGTGAAACACCAGGCGCGTGTTTTCTGGTAACTTTCTTGCTGTCAATAACAGAGAAGTGTTCATTTTTCACATTTCTGATTTCAAAAGGATTCGCGGGCTGAGAGGTTTTCTTGATAACCCTGTCAGCCTGGCGTTTTAATCTCTTAATCTTTTTCGAATTCTTCATCTTGTGATTTATATCACCAGATTCCCTTAAAAGCAATGCAAATACAAATCAGGGCATAAGTAACACTCAATAACCTCGCCAAGAATCAACAGCTGTGCCTGATGTTAAAATAGTGGAGGTAAACTTCGATGAAAAAGTGGACATCGAACGTAAAATTTTGAGACTGAAACGAGGTTAGAAAGAAAAAATCAGGCGTTCAAAAGGTACTCCATTTTCCATTTGAATTGGCTCAGATTTGTGGCAAAGTTTGGACCAGCATAAAAATATGTAAATGAAGAAGCCTTCGTCCCTCTTTCAAATGAATGCTCTGCAATCAATGCACTGAAATTTCAACACACGATGCCGAATTACTCTCATACATTAACTGACAAGCTTTTCTTGACAAAAACCCTTAGCAGTTTCAAAATGACTCCCCATCAAAGCGATTTTTCACTTCGCTCATCGAAAAACACCCACCGAAAACTAGAAATTCCTTGAATTATTTTTCACAGAAAAAAAATCACGATGTCCTCCTTACAAGAAAGAAATTCACTCAAACAAAAAAAATATGCGAAAAGAAAACCCGAAGGACAGAGATTCTTCGGAGGCAACGACAGGATCAGCGGGAATTTTCACACGCGAACTTGCTAATCTCAAGAGCGATCGGTTTAAGCTCCTCCAACAAGGCAGCCATTGCACCAGTTTGAACATATCGCGAGCCTATCATCGTCAATGCAACCGGTTCCACCCATGAAGTTATCACCTTAAAAATCATAAGAAAAACAATCTTTCAATAGAGATTTCATGAATAATGAAAATTAGATAATACCTGATAATTTTCATAAACGGCTGTCACGGAATTGTTTCGGCCATAGCCAACTCGTGCAAGATGATCGGAAGCGACTGGGAAAGTGCTCAAGAAGGACGCACGAAGTGCCATTTCTGGACATCGATCGGAACATGCTGATGCAAAAAAAGTATTATGCGCAAATAGGACTTCTCGTAAAACAGTATTTAAAAATCACGCCACCTTTGAGAATCGGGATCCCATCTTTGTCGGAAACGACCATACCCAGCACTCCATTTACAGCTTCCATGCGCATTAACAGGTTTTTTTTTACTGCCTGAGAATAAATACTACTTCGAGAATTTGACAAAATAATCGAATTAGAAGGTCAACTTACATCAACGCAGTAGTCAACCATTCTCATTCCCGACGGGTGGCGAATGCCTGAATCTCCTCAAAACAAAAACGCGTCTGCTTCTACGACACAGGTACTTCTAACATTTCTTTAAATGCGGCCAACAATCATTATTTCCTGGAAGTCATTAAAAATACCCCAATGATCCAGGAAACGAGACGAAGCAAGTCATTGTGACGAAGTAAGCTGCTCTAAAAAAAATGCAATCCCACCATACCAATATGCATTAAAGTTCATCGTATATCACAACCATTTCCGATATCGAAAGCACCATAATTGAAAAAAAAATGAACCTTTCCCAAACCCGCATTCCTCAATGTGTCAAATGCGTCAGAACACCCGAGTCCCACTATTTTAAAGTTTCGATTGCTGGCTAGATCCATTACGCAGAATTGCTTCATCGTTGACTTCCAAGATACCACCTGAAACAAAACAAATTTCAAACCATGGCATTACCATTGACGGGAAAATCGCCGAAAATCATAGTTTCTATCAACAGCACAATGACTAACCGGACACCCCACAAATGCTTTTACTTTCATTACTTGTGCTTCGAACAGATTTACAGATTGCCCCCGCGAGAGCAACTCAAAACGATAATACGCATACTTCAAATTATTCTCAATAAACTCTCAAGGTTACCTATTACAGTATTTCGAGACTCAAAATCAAAGAAGGGAGGGTGATAAACTTCCTTACCAGCAAGAGCCAATTTTCCAGAACCATCCACACCAGCTTCAAAGAATATTTTTCTTCCATCCACCCAGCCACGTGTTATCAACTTCTCTCCAGGAAATAATGATGCACTGAACCGAACTTTGATCGAAACAAAACCTTCCTCAGGTATACGGAAGTGCGTGACGAGCGTACGAGTGGCAATGCCCAAGGAACAAAGCCCGTGAAGGATCGGTTTCTTGAAACCCGCCAGGGCAGCCATATCCGGATCAATGTGCAGCGGGTTCACGTCGCCAGTGAGACGGTAAAGAGCAGCCTGCAATCAAGTGCAGTTCTCAATTACAATTTTTTCTCAGAAAACAATACAGTAGACGAGAAAACGGGAAGAGTTTGAAAACTTTTGAACAGTGGCTTAGGGGAATAAACCTCCTTAGCGGGCCAATTGGCAATTTTATATTTAAAAGTGGACGGTATCCAAATCTCTGAAAACCTAAAACTCAACCTAGTACTGTAGCTATTATTTCTTTTGGAACTGATCAGGGTATACTGGCATTTTCCCGGTCGATGCTATTGTCTGAAAATTACTGAAATTCGCAATACTTGACAAGGATTACCTGATCAACATTAGTCACGAAGGGCAGCACCACGTCCGGAGGCCTTTGAGGCATCAACCCAATAGGAACAATTTCACTAGAGGTCCTCGGCCCGCCGAACCCTCCTTCTCCGACGAGGAAAATGCAGAATTGATTCAACGCGACTAAGTCATCCTTCTCGTCTTTTGTTTCAACTGCAAAGCACAAAAATACATTCCGAACTCAGCCTAAGAAAATTCTAGCTCGCCTCACCGTTAATGACGAGCAACGCGCCGGATCCCTTGTCCAACCTCGCGACCTCCTTATAAGAGGATTTCAACTCTTCATCCCCACGCAGTGGACGATAAAGTTTCAGATACTGTTCCCCGTGCAGCAACTGAAAAGACAAAAGAAGTACTGATAATTTAGAATTATGACGAACAAAAAACGGGAAAAATGCCTTCACTTCCAAAGCAAGTTTACTCGTTTAATCAATATTAAAATAAATCAATATTTTAAGGGCACCGATTTTACTTAGCGGAAGAAAAAAAGAGGGGGACTAAATTTAATAATAAATTTCTTGAAACAAATTTTCGATCTTCCCAACAGCTCCGAAGTGACACGTGAATAAAATTGATGGCTGATGGAGCGCGTGAAAATTTCCAACTACAGTAATCGGCGAACTATACGAAGGTAAAATATGGTGAAAGGTTAGTTACTCACAAACATCTAGACAAGACATACATGTCAAGATGAAATTTTTTATGATTAGGATCTTTCAAAAAACAGTAGCCGAAAATTATTTAAAAATACGTGACAGCAGGGCAGCTAATTCATGTTCTTCCATAAAAAAAAAAAGTTAGGACAAAGTAAAATGTGTTTATTTCAAATTCAGAATAAGTTGTTTGTTTTTCTTTTTTGCTCACCTTGGAGAGGTCAATGTTAATTCCATCAATTGCGGCGAGAAAGCCGCCGTTAGCAGCTCCAAGACAATGCTGAGCAGCTATAATCGCAAAAGTTGGCAAAACGCTGAAATTGTCAGAGCCTTCGTAAACGTATTTGAAGTTCGACTGGTTTTTCGTAGACGCCCCAACTGCAATACACACAGACAACCAAGAAAAACAGCTTAGTCTAGTTTATTTGAAACGTCAGCTACAAATGTCTATAAAATCATCTCATCGTCTAATCGCGCGAAGAACGAAAGCATGAGATTTCTCACCAGCAATCGCGTATAAAATTGCATCTTTCTGCGTATAGCTGAAAGGAACGGCTTCACTGGTTCCAATTGATGATTTCTCTGCAGCGGACGTCAAATCAGACATTACAATCGACATCAGCTCAGGATTGCTCGTGGGGTACGTAGGGTTGGAGAAATCGCAAATTTTTTCCCAGTTTTCGACGACACCATCGGCAGTTATAGGTTCAAGAACAACGCCCCGGCTTCTCTCCCAGCGATCTTTGATACAAACGAAAGTGAAAAAAGGAACAAACATACGGTAGGTATATTCTACATTTTTTTCTACACACCGAAATTCATTTTTACTCGCCTCATTTACAGCTAACCTACTCACATTTTGCAACAAGTCCACCAGCAGCTTCAAAAATGCCACCCGTTTCTTGGCAATCTTCGCTGCAGAGCCAAACCACAACAGGAGCAACGGTCTCCGGTTTTAGTTTTTCAAAAATAGCTGGTACAGAGAATTAAAGAATTAAGATATGAATAAATAAGGCGACTACACGATCCACGACGACATCTCTCAAGGTGGATGAATAAAGCATAGAAACCAACCCCAAGTTCAGCCGAAGAATAATTTTATAATCCACTCACCAGGAGGAAGAACGTCTTGAGTTAATCTTGAAGCTGCCATTGGGACAATCACATTGCAAGAAATGTTGTTTCTAGCACCTTCGATTGCCAAAGTGTTGCTCAGACCGATCAAAGCCATCTTTGCAGCCGAGTAATTCGACTGCCCAAAATTTCCATAAATCCCTGCCGTCGAAGAGGTCATGACGATTTTACCATACTTCTGCTCTTTCATGTGTTCCCAAGCGGCTCTGGAAACATTGAACGATCCTTTCAAATGCACTTCTTGAATCGAGTCTGCAGAAAAGCGTCGAAAATTATGAGAAAAGTTACAAGTATTATACGATTCTGTCATTACCCCAATCCTTGTCCGTCGTATTCAGCACCGATTTATCACGAAGAATGCCAGCATTATTAACCACAACGTCCACACGACCAAACGCTTTGATCGCAGTATTAATAATTGCTTCGCCATCGACAACTGAATCATAATTCGCCACTGCTTTGCCACCTACGGAAAAGAGGAACACGGATATGGTACAACATAATGAGAAAATGTTGCTCATACAATAGAGAATAGATACCCGAAAAAGTGGATTAAAAATTCCACAACATACCTTTCCGCCGGATCTCCTGAACAACTGCGTCTGCTGGCTTCGAATTTGTCACATCGTCTTTCAGACCAACTCCAACGTCATTCACGACAACTGATGCTCCGAGAGATGCAAATTGTAAGGCGTATTCTTTGCCCAGTCCTTGATGACCAAAAAAGAAGAGATGAACAAAATAATTCAAGCTTGGAAGAAAGCGGACCGAAACTTACCTCCTCCAGCCCCTGTCACCACGACGACTCGTCCGGAAAAATCCATAAATAATCTGAAAAAAAAGTTTAAAATATAAATGCGTACTGCAAGGAAGAAATGAAGGGATATATTCTGAATGTGAATCGTTTGTGCTGAGTGAGACGAATTTGGGTTCAAGTATTGTTCAGTATACGGTTGGGAAAATGAAGAAAGAGCAGCTCAAACGTTCCGATTCAGGGTAGTCCAAATTAAAAATAATTGTTTGAAGAAATGGACCGTCTTCATCCTGAAGAATTGTCACATTTTAATAACACTTCAGGAAATCGGCTACAAACATTCACTTCGCTTTCCCCTTGATATTTTTCTTCGCGGAAGCAATCTGAGCCCTTTTCTCCTCCAACACTCGTTCATCGTTCGTTTTCCGCTTTCGCAGCTTCATCATATTTTTGTAAAGTCTGCGATGTTTCCGTGGGATCATCATTTTCCTCATGGTCAGATGCTCACGATCTTCCTTCTCTTCGAGTCTAGCTTTGTTTTCAGGCACGAATTTGCCGGCACTGACCGTCATTTTGGGTTTCTCCGGCACATACTCTTCTTCGTCATTCTCACTGGCTTCCTCCTCTTCGTCGTCGTCGTCAACGTCCTCATCATCATCGCCGCTTTCGTTCTCAACTACATCAGAATTACTTCCACTTTCTGATGCTTCCTCAATGCTATCTACACCGGAATCGGAGATCGTTTGAGCAGCGTTGACTTCCATAGACTCAATGTCCGCATCCACGTTTCCGTCGTATTCGAAGAAGGGAGATAAATGCGCAGGCAAAACGACGCCAGCGAAGTATTTCTCAACAGGCTTCCTCTCACGAGCATTGATCGAGTCAAAAACCCACTGTGGTTGCACATACGTTCTGCAATGAAATTAAGAAAAATTGTATAATTCTTATTTCAACAAGGCTTGAGTATACATTCCGTTTCAAGGAAAACAGACCAGATTCTTCCAAACTACTTCAAAATAAATTCACACTAAGCCTCTGTTTTTTTCTTCAACACGAATAAAATACAATGAAACTTTACATGGAAGCGACACAAATACGAGGCTAAGCATCACGGAAGACAAATATGGCAAACCGTTTCATGGGTAAAAAGAATCGCACACAAGAACAGGTAAAAATTAAAATGTTGGCCAAATTCACTCAAGTTTGTTCAGCTTTTATGTTCAGTGATTTAGGGTTCCGAATGGTGCACGTTATTTTAACTGCCGTCATGATTAGAACAAAACAAACACACGTGCGGTTCGGATGTGATAGAATTTTGTCGTATTTCACAGCATGCATAAAATGTTACGATTCACAGCTAACTCTGTCTTCAGTGCATGAAAGGTTACTACAGTACTGTATACAGTATTCGCAAAATTAAAAAATAAAGCACTGTAAAGTTTACCTTGACAAGAAGGGTCGATTAAGATCATTCCTATCCACAATCTGGTGAGTGATGGACTCGTCATCTTCGGGATAGGTCGCTCCACTGTAGATAGGGCTATTCCACGATACCTGTCCACCGCACGCCCTGATAACAAACGTCAATATCTCTCGGGGAACTTCGTTGTTCAGGAAAAATTTTAGGCCCTTGAACAAATTCTGCTGCCTCGCAGCACTCTCGGCTTCTTTCCGTATTTCTTCGCCTGTATCGGCCGCTTCCTCCTAGAAAAAAATAAGTCAGTCAAGTAGATTTCAAATAGAAGACGCTTTTATATGATACAAATTCGCTTCAACAAAGTCAGGGTTAATCTGGAATTCTGTCTCAGATTCGATGGCCTCTTAGATTTACACGGAAAAGAGCATTATTACTTTTCATCAGCACCATGTTTCGAATAAAAACGTTCGGGTTACGAGCGTTAGAATTCTGATTCTTCCTGTGCGTCTTATACGAGATTAAGCTGATGACAGGAACTTGACTATTGAGTCACAGAAACTTCGGCATTAGAAGATATCTAAAGCAATGAAAGTGCGTTTTTTATTCGCACGTAAATTAATAATCATTTTGAGGCACAAAGATAGACGTGAGTTTAATCATCAACGACGTCTTACATTCGAGTGAATACGGTATTTTGAACTGAACATACAACACTGAGTAAATTTACACTATTCGTTCGAAGAGAGAAAATTAAGAACATCATTCGCTAGTAAAAATTTTACTTATATTCGGAATTATAAGTTGAGAATGACATTGCTCTGATACCAACAGAAATCAGATTACAGTATTAATAAAAAAAAAACCACGCAATAAATACTTGTATTTCGGATTCGGATTGCGGAGCACAATATTTGTAAAAAGGAACGAAAACTCACGACAGGAATGTCATCGAGTTGAACATTGTCCGGGTCTTCATTTTGGGATGCAAGGTTCTTCCGGAGTGTGACATTGAGAGCCGATAGTCGTTCACTGACGTCACTGCCCTCATGAACGCCTTCCAGTTTTGGGGGATAGTGAAGATTTAATTGTTGGAACAATCGGAAATTGACGAATCCCAGGAGATAAACGTAGAACTCCGTGAACGTGTTCATCACTTTGAAATCGACGCCTTGTCCATGTGGATGCTATTGAAATGGATGAAGTTTCATTAAAGAACAAGTCCAGTGAACGGCAGAGTTTAATACACGTGAACGTCAAAATTGAAGACAGCCACTTTTCCCTGGAAATATGACAGAGTTTACATGATCTACCAAAACAATAAATAACAACATTACACCACGGCTTATTGTACTATTATCTGAGAAAATTACGTCTGATTTCCAACTTGTTAAATGGCAATAAGACGCAGAATAGCTACTACAGTACCGCGCGAATTTTGGCTGAAACAATGACACTTTCCAAATTTACATACTGCAGAACTCTATTTTCCCAGTCTTTCACGTAATAAATTTTTCAATTTGACTTACAGTATAAAGTTTCATCTTTAAAAAAAAAACTGTTATTGCTATCGCTCTTTCTTGGGTAGGGATCACATTACACGAGGTCTTTGAAAATTTTAGAACGACTCCATGCAGGGAAATTCAAATTTTCGGAAAAACACAGTACTGAGGGATATAATTTTTTCGAATTACCAACGGAATTTCCTGAAAAAAAACTATTCATTCACCTCATACGCAACGTTGTGCGGAATAACCCAGGTTACATTCTGTCCAGAAATCTCCGCTTGGAAGTAATAGCCCTTGATAGAAACGAACACCTTCCGAAGCGCCTTGGCTTCGATGACGTACAACATGAATTCCGTAGTCAAGCGACGCGAAAGTTTAGCCAATTTTTCAGCTTCCGGCAATTTATACATTCTTGGGAAAGTGGCGTACAAGCAGCACATGGAGAGTGGATCATCCAAATCACGTAAGGCATCCACGAATGTGGGATAACGCTCTTTTACTAAATGGTCTAGTCTGAACGATGGTTTCGCTTTTAAAATGCGTTCGTATGCGATCATGTCCTTTTTTCCACGCGCGGTTGCAAGTTTCTTCATGTAGACCTGATGAAAAGAAAATCTTCCACATGTGAACTGCAGGCGATCAAAAATTCAAGAATTTTTCCGAATCTCACCTTCAGGGCCCGAAACTTCCAAACTAACGGTTCGTGCAGCATAAAACGCATGTCTTTCCGATGATACAAGGTTTGAATAAGATTGGTATGTTTTTGGGCTTTCTTTCTGTTCTTCGGTTCTCGAGGATAAATTCCCTTGAGAATGCATAGATCCCTGAATTGCGTCAGTGATAGCTGCAGGGTCTTTATGGCTCGAGTACGAGAAACGTACGATGCCGCGACGCCCTTCTTCCCCTGGAAAGTTCAGGAAATAAGTTTCCAACATAAGAGCTCCACAATACTCTTACAACGAAAAAAATATATAAAAAGTATATATATATATATATACTGTATACGGTACTTCACAAGAAAGTCGAGGACCTTCGTGAAACTGCCAACATTTAGAACTGTTGTATATTGTGTATAAGGAATACATCCACGAAATTTCTTTCGGATGCAATAAAAATTCCCCTCACCTTCTTTTTCATTGGCCCCATGACGAGAGCGGAATATCACTCAACTAGAGGCACTTCGAAAAAGCCTGGAACCAAGAAAGGAAAGGTTTCTTTTTTTAAATAAAAAAAAACAAAGCGTCGACTTGGAAAGAACGGCCTAATTCAAAGTGCGTACCCCGTCTTCTCAACTGTTCACATCGGCAACACTGTGTTCATTACCCAAAAACTTCGGATACCTCCAAGATGTCTCAGTAGACAGGTCAAAAAGCAAATATGCCCCAAAAGTCATTCTATAACATTCATAGGTTTGGAAATCCCCAAAATATTTTCTCAGTTTTCCCGGGACATTGCATACATGAACGATTTAGCACGAAGGTTAAATAATTTAAATCGGCACGCCTGTGCGGTATAGATGAGAGGATAGCCTTCAATCAATTTTTCTTCCAAAGGTATGCCACACAGATAAAGCCCGAAGTGCGGATTTGTATTTCGCCGAAATATCGCGATCACCAACCGTAAAATAATTAATGACACATTCAAAAAGCACGACTTGATCACAAACCGTTTTTCGGAGGGAATGAAGACTTAGCTGCAAAAAAATATTTTGTTGAGAAGAATTACGACGATGCCAATTTCACGATATCAGCGTGACTGAAAATCTCAACAGGGTTCGTTTGTGGCTTGAGCGCACTGATGACCATCGCTTTAGCGACTGATTCCACTGGAACACTGTACCATTTCCCAAAATCCACTAATTTGCTGAATCTCTGAGCGATTTTTTCAAGCGGTCGCGATTCCACACGATCACACAGCAGCAATCCAGGACGAAAAATCGAAAACCTCTCAAATCCAAGATTCTTCACGTGTTCTTCCGCCAAGCCTTTAGTTTTGTTGTACAGGAACATGGAGTTTTCGTTGGCACCGACAGCTGTCAACAGCACGAAGTGCTTGCAGCCGCCTTCCTTCGCTTGCTTCGCAGAATCAACAACATAATCGTGATCCACCTTAACAAATCCCTCAGCTCCCGCTTTTGCACGCGTCGTTCCCAGACAGCAAAAACCAACGTCAAAATTAGAGAAGGCACTGCTTTGCGATTGAAGGTGATCAAAATCCACCACGCGTTGCTCCAACTTTTGAGAATTTACAGATGCAACATCCATCTTGCGTCGTCCAATAAGCACCACCGAGGCGAAATTTTCATTATTCAAAACTTCATGCACCAGTGCTTTACCCACTTCTCCGGTTGCTCCGAGAATAAACGCTTTCAGCTTACCCTCGTCTGATTCCATTGCCAAATCGAAAGGTAACTCTGAAAGGGTACAGACATGGTGTAAAAATCGAACTGGGCTTCATACAGAGGGAAATTCAATTCTGAAATATAAATCTAACCCAACACTCTCCTCGCCTCAAGACATCAATCACAGATTGAATAAGTGAAAAATAATGTTCAATACGCGAACGCACATCCCCTTTCAACAAACGAACTTAGGTATCAACTTCATTCCGCGCGAAACTCGTCTAAAGCTTTTCTTCACGGAAGAATCAATGCGCCCTGCCTGCCACACCGACCCGAACATTTAATTAAGTGCCACGGCGAAAAACTCCCACGTCCATCATCTCAGCATTCAACAGCGCAGAGAGAAATCCTCCCCAGTCATGTTCACATTCGCTATACAGTACAGTACATTAAGTAAACCACCAGGGTTTCCACATGGTATGGTAGTGTGGTAATCATGTGGTGAAAGGATGAATACCGTAAATGCTTCTATCAGGGCCAAGTCTCCCATTTGGAGGCTATAGGTCTCAAGGTGAGTTCAAGGGATAAGGGAATATATAATAGCTAGCCTTTATAGTTGCATGGTTGAATAAAAAGGGAGAAAAATATTTGTGAAAATGTTTTGATCCATCTAAAAATCCTATAAACAATCTTGTCTGGACCACTGCACAAAGAATACCCTTTCTCCTATACAGCCCCCCTAATACACATCCACCCTCTCTCTTCTCATCAAAAATTGATGGGAAATGCAAGTTTTTCCCTGTTTTTCTTATCCTAACCTTCTCCCACACATCAGTTGCAATCGTTGGAAATATACTCATTGGTTTCTGATGCATGAATATAATGACTTGGAGGGGGAGGGATTTAATATTTCAAATAAAAGCCCACAGCAATCTCATTAAAGCAGTGAATGTACAAATAATTGTATTAAGAGGGCTGTAATGTATAAGCTTCAACTTGATTCAACAAATATACAATTAATATGCACCTATTTCTGACAGCGTTCAAATAATCCACTCTTACAGGGACATTATTATGCAAGTTTTCTCACAGATGACGAGCTGAAATTAACTGCTGTATGATGAAAAGGGTTAGACCTGCTGTACAGTATATACCACGCGTTTACTAATATGAAATCATGCGTTCCTTGCTAGAAAAACGTGTATGCAAAGAATATAAACCCTAGCTTCATTATTGGACTTTCCTACATAATGCAGCTGTAATTTCTCAGTAAAAAAAAAAAAAAAAAACTTCACGCCTGTGTTCCACAATAGAACGTACCATGCTCGGTTTTGTGCAACTACTGTACTACAGTTTCATGATGGCGATACACGTGTTAATTACAGCTATGTTTAAACGGTCCAGCGCAGTACAATGAATAATTTTCAACCACATACACAATAGAAAGTTATGCGATATAAAATCCACCATCGAAAAGTCAGAATTCTTTCTCATGATGCTTGTGTACGAAAATAGTTTACTTTACTTCATACAGTATACTGTATGAGTTTTTTTGGTCTATTCCACCTCTTATCATGCTGTGGGTCATGTTGGCACAAACTGTATGTTGATGACCGGATAATTATGACAATTTCCAAGCTATGAAATATAAGAAAACATTTCCGTTCCATATCCCAACTAATGCTTCATCAAAAGAAGTTTAAGGTGCTCAGATATTTTTCTGATGTCACCAGCCCTTCCGCAGGCACGAAGTGAGTAACCATGAAGATAAAAATCCGAGGAATTTTGGGAAATATTTCCCGATTTCCTCGAATATTTCATATCCATTGCAAATTTTCGGATGTTAGTTAGTTCCATTGAATAAGAAACATGAAAAAAGGAATACATTGCTTCAAAAAACGCATCAACGTTTAAGAATGTATTTAAAATCAACGAAAAAAAGCCTCAAGCCGCTGTTTGTCCAACACGAGAAAATACCACGTCGAAAATATAAAATTCACCGTAAGCAAGCCAAACCGACGAGTCTTACACACAACCGTTATACATAATACGTCAAAATACATGCACCAACAGCCAAAAATCGGTGTTAAAATGCTCGGGAAAATGTCACGAAACACCAAAAATGAAAATGCGAAATTCGTTGGGATACGTCACTGAAAACAATACAATACGGAGATCCGAGAGCATCACTTGGAAGAATATTTGACAATACTCACGAGACTACAAAATAAACCGGTGCAATAAAATCGGATTTCTCGATACGCACTTCTACACATCCTGTCCTATTGGCTATCTTGAGGGAATGTAGAGCAAACTGGAATACTCGCCACTGCCTTGACTCTGGAATAAGGAGGTCATCATGCATTATCTCCCATTCATAGCGGAATAACGAAAAATCTTGAAAACGTTCAAAATACAATCAGGATCAAATAATTTACGTCGATTTAATTACACGAATTGCGACATGGAACGGTGTACACATTCAACCATCCGCAAACCTACACCATTAACTTTTTTCCTATCCTAGAATTCCTAAAATTCAGAAACCCAGCAGAATATAAGGAAACGACTTAATATTCAAAATGGATACACAGTATCTGTTTCTAAATGTCCAGATGAATACTGTACCAAGAAATGTATACAGTAATCGAAATCTTAGTTCGATGTCTTACAGATGTGGCTATAGCTCCAACAGCTAAGGTTTTGAAACTGTTGGCTCTGTCAACTTATTTATGCACTTATTAACTTGGTAGAACAAGATTGCTTTGAAATCTGGTACAAAGAAAGCACTCACTTTGGTTCCAGATATTTTTGCCTCACAGCCTGTTGGTCGTGCGTTGCCGCTTTAGCCCAAATGATTTTGATCGTTGACATGCACGGCATCAAATCCGCGTATTTGTAATTTGTCGTCTGTGAGGAAATTCGGATACCGAGGTGATTAACTATCGAAATAAACAAAAACCTTATTGCGCTATACCTTCATGAACATGATTTTCCACAGCTCGCCAACCATCAGTGTGTGAGCTGCAAGAGCAACCGAGGCAGCAGCCTGAACTGATGGCAAATAATTGAGGATATCGCCACCTTCCATCATTGCCAACTCCAACAAATACTGTAATACAGTAAATTGATAAGATCTCAACATATTGAATAATATCCGAAATTGTAAAAAGTTGTTTCAAGTAAAAGGCAAGTTCTGTTAATGTTTCAGCGAAAGTCAAATCATTCACTTGCATACCATTTATGTGCACCTTTCAATCCCACGAACTTCCACTGCGGATGCGTGTCATAGAAAAAACAGCATACCTGTGGTATAGTACCGTATAAAGTACTTATTTTTAAAGGAAATTTTCTTTGTTTCTTCAGAAAAATTACGGTACGGTACGCACCATATACAAAGGCGAGCGGCTTACTAGTAAATACAATGAACACACAACAGCCTTTCATGACAGTAAAACCTGAAAATTTCCTTCTTTCAGATTTTCCAGCTCTACACGATTTCATGGAAGATGAACTATAAATACGGAAACAGAACAACCATTACAATATAATTTTACGTGCATTTCTTAAAAAAAAAAAAGATCACATTCATAAAATTTCGTATAGTTCAATTCAATGTCGAAAGAGCGTGATGAAACAAAGCGTCCCACACAAAATCGTACCAGAGCGAGGTTGCTGACGGTCTCGGGAGCCTCAATATCCAAAACGAACTTCGCAAAAAACGTGTAGGGGGTCACACATGTCATCCTGTAATCCAGGGCTATCAAAATGAATGTTTCCATCTTCAGCAGCTGTTCCTTGCTGTATGTATTGTCTGTGATGAAAACGAACTCTTCGCTTTCCGGCGGGTAAATTTCCTCCACCTTGGCAGCAATGAACATGGCCGTTGTTCCCAGCAACTGGAGCTTCGATCGAAAGATTTTGTTGTAGGACAAGAAACGGTCGATGTAGGAAACAGCCATGAATAAACAAGCATCGGATAGCTTGTATTCAATAGCAACTTCAACGAGCCAGTCGACCAACATTGAGCGCATGTGAGGAGCCAAATCGGGTTGCTGGTGCATGTACATAGGGCGAGGACGGAAGTTTTTCTGCACAGGAAAAACGAATACAAAAGCATAATAGAGTAAATTTCACAATATTTATGACGAAACATTTTTTTATCTGAAAAAAAAAAAAATACTGTAAGTTACTTGTTTCCATAAAATACAAACCTCTTGTTCGGCAAGATATTTGAAGATGTCCTCCGCATACTCCTTCAACTTGCACATATCATCTTCTTGCTGCTTATGCAATGAAACGCGGCTCTTATCCATAGACGACCTTGGAATCGCGAAGCAGTTAGTAGGTAAACCATCTACGCTGTCAGCAGAATCTTGAGTGACAGGCGGAGAAACGTCATCACCAAGAACATTGAAAGTGACAACTGCAGCTTCGTTTTCTTTATCTTCTTCGGAATCTTTTTCGTGACTTGATGTTGATGGTCGACGGTTGGACAGTTTCTTCTTTCCAGATATGTCCAATTCACCAAATGGAACTTGAACGAGCTTCTTCGAAGGCACGCCAGCTGACGACAATTCGATGCCTTTCATTTGCGACGAAATTCCACATGTCGAACTTCCGCGATCGATTTCAGAGACAAGAGAGTCTGCTGGAGTGTTTTCCGCAGACAGAGACAACGGTTTCGGTGAATCTTCATAGAATGCGAATTCTTCTGGAGGAGGAATCACGACAGGTTTGTCTTTGCGACTCGGCTTCGGTGGCGGAATGTTACTTCCTTGCGTTAGTTTGAAATTCAGGCCCACCACTTGCGAAGGCCGTAGACTCAGGCCAGTATTTTTTGTCTTGGGAAATGCTCCAGTAGTTTTGTCCGACCGCATATTAATTGCCATATTTTCCTTATGCTCATGAACCTTTCCCAGCTGCTTCGTATTTTCCCTATTTTCCAGAACTTTTCCCAGCTGCTTCGCTTCATGATTTTTCTTCACTTTGTGAACTTCAACCTCGGAGTCGTAGTAAATGGAAAACTTTGGCTCGGCGGTATGGACTTCGGTGTGGAGTGACGAATTTGACTTAACATTCCCTCCGTTCCGGGTAAGTTTCGTTTGATTGTGTTGCACGGGTAAGATGTTCGTTTTCTCCTTCCCAAACTTCCGGCTTGCATTATTAGCGTTTCTGAACATGGTACTAAAGGCTCAAAAAACAGAACTACCCGCAAGCCAGATGCTAGAACAATCACTTCACACAAAGTAATGTCATGGGCAGACCATATTCACAGTATTGTATAGATCGAATCAGGTCTAGACGAATCAAGCAAGATTAATTAAAACGAAATATGATCAGGAAATATGAACCATGTACAACACAGCAACGAAGCGGAATGAAAACACACAGCATTCTTCGTGGGAGCCCAACGAAGGTTCACGAGGAAAATTCAAACTTCCGCGATTCAAACACCTGGACGAATGCGCTTGGAGTCACCCGTACCAACCCTGGTATATCTGGTAGTCAAGATGTGAGTGCAATTCTCAGAAATATATATTTTCATTTGGTCATATTCCATACAATTCAAAATGGAACTTTGATCGATTTTTTTCATCAAATTATTTCTCTAAAGTAATATTTATATTGCGAACAGTGGCCAGCAGCAGCGGATATACATACCTGCTTACAATTAAGTACAGTACAGTACTGTAGTTTGTGTATCAATTACGGTCTGGTAAGGGCCAAAGTGAAAAGGATACCTTTGGTCTTTGGGGTGATGTTGCCCGAAGGATTGGTCCCTAGACCGGAAGTTAAATTATGGATTTTGTAATTTTTAATCAGGGATGATGGATGAATACGGAGTTTTGGCAGCAAGATGAATTCCTTCAGCACCTGCTCAAGACCAGGTCAGATTTTACGAATTCCAGATTAGTGAGGATGGAATTGATGAACAATTGGTCAAGAGAAGAGAACTTTACTGTAAGCATTGAAAGAAGTTCATTTCTATAAGCAAAATTTGTTTGGATTACTAGCACACTTTCCAACATTTTAAAATAAATTGGATCCATCACAAATGCTGGGGCAATGGCTTTTCTACTCTTTGTTTAGATAAATAAACAAACGCAGTTCTCACTTCTCATAAAATTTTTATGCTCTGAGAATAGGTGATGTACATGATTACGATTGCTTAAATTTCTACAACACGAAGCTGATGGTTCAGATGCATTTCTGCTTTAACGTCACTAAAAATTTGCAGAAAACTTCGTCAACATATTGCCATGATGAGGCAAACCCTGAATTGTATCCAAGTGAGTTCAGGGCTTATTTGGAAGTCCAACTAACATGACTTCTACAATTGGTGATTGCATTTTACAGAAGCCAGCTCACTATGCTTCCAGAAACATTTATGAAAAACAATACTTCTCTTTAAACTATATAGCTTCTGTCCACTCCATGATTTTCTTCTGAATAACAGGATGAAAAATTGAAAATTCATGATCAACTCAGAAATCGAGGATTGATTAACAGATTCAGGCTGCTCTAGGATTGAGCAGATTGTGACAAGAAGAATGGGAAACAGAAGACTCTTCTTGCCTTCTGAAATGCTTCATGTCTCGCAGATGACAAGGGGGTACGTCACAGCTGATTGGAATTACAGGCACCTGAAAAGAAAACGGGTTGATTTAGGATGTCTCAACGCCCAAAGATGACACTCGTGGATTTAAAGTAACGCTAATCTTTACATCTGAAAACATGCATAGAAGTTCAATGAAGAGGAAAAAAGCAGTGATCTTTTTATCGTTTTCTAAAGAACAGAAAATCCATACAGAACGAAATTTTTCAATAGCAAATTGACTGTTGAGCACCATAAAAACTGACTTTTTTGTCAAGTGTGAATAACTCCTTGTAATAAGCCATTCTTGCACAAAGATGAAAATTGAAATCAAGCAAATAATTTTAAGACGTCAGTTTTCTGAAATGATTAAATCCAGCGAGTTTTTGTGGCCGAAGTCACATAAGGCCTCTGCAAAAGTAGCAGACACGGCAGTGCAGGATTGTTGACACCATCTTCAACCATTCATGGCCTGTATCCCTGAATTGAATACGAAGATTTAAAAAATCGAACAACATTTCTCATTTTGAAATAAAATCCCCATTTTGCTTCATCACAAAGATTTCCAGATCAAATTGGACTATGTCCTGATAGTCGCGATGCACTTCCGCGGGCATGTGTTTCGAGTACACCAACTACTTATAAAATATTGACATCAGAAAAAAAAATTGACGAGTTGAATTTATCTGTCCGCAGAGGCTCGCAAAAACGGCTGAAAGACGTTCTCTCAGTTTCAAATTCAGAAAGGAAATTTCGCAGAAAACTTGGCACGCCATCAAACATTTTAAGCTGCCACGGGAACAGATTTTGATCGCACAAAAGCAGTGAAACAACTCCTGGAAGGGAAGCAGCATCAATTCGTAGCGTCTCTACTGCTCAATAGCTGGGCCACAGAAGAACTCGGTGAGAGGAACGTAGTCGGAGAACTTGAATTCAACGAAGTTCTTGAGCGAGAAAGTTGCGGCGACTTAATCAGCTCTTGGCTCAACTGTCGGGTGCTGGCTTCAATTTGAGAAGTGATCCTCTCAATGTGATGATCGTATATGACGTCGGGCATTTCCTTGTTTTCAGGGTAGCGATTCTGAGAATTTACTTTCCCTGTAGCCTGAAAAAAAAAATTGCTGGAATAAAGCAAAACCCTGAAATGGATTTTTCCGCATTTCACGATAAAATCTTCCGAAACTAGCTCACAGACAGACAACACATTTTCGAATTAATATGACAGGTTTAACAAGTAAGCCCCAGCTTAGCACAATCTTCATGCCCGTTTCGAAACCAGAGTCTCGATTTAAAATTACCGCAATAGTTTTTCATGTACAGTACTGTGCTAAAATGCCAACTAAAATCTCATAATAACCTGATAAGGAGGCATGTTCATGGATTATGATTTTTTTTCTTCAAATTGTACACTTGACCCCACGTTACGGAACAGGTAGTAAATAATCCGGACAAATGATTGACCCAGTGTGCCATAAAAGCCTGTTCTTATAATAGCTTGTAAATTGGGGAAGCGATTAATCTGAGCCGAAACAAAATCCGAATATATCGTTATCAAGGAATTACATTTTTTAATTTTCTATCCTTTATCCATTTCCTCATGCATGGTCAAATAATAAATTTACCCCAGTTTCAAACAGACGAAAATTATCAGGTCTGACCTTACTTCTGCGGAGGGCGAGTACTACAGTATATGGGAGAGGAACCAAGAAACATTTTTCCGTTTCCAATTCAATGTTATACAGTGCAACGATTACAACTGCTTAAGGCGAAACTCACTAGCATTAACTCAGCCAAACTCAATTCCGGAGTAATTTTCGTTTGAGAGCGTCGAAGATTCCTGGGACGGACAGTTTGAAGGAAATTCTTTGCAGCGTCGATCGTCTTCAAAGCATAGAAAACATCTTCCTGAGACCAACAAAAATTTTGCGAATAGTACGAGTTGGAGGCAAGATGCAGCGGCTTTGCTTTGATGAGTACAACAGCCACAAGAGGTAGTAAATCACTTGTCGTCACAATCGGTGACTTGAAATCCAATTCTGAAATGAAAAACTATGAAAACTACAGTATTGAGTAAATTGCAATAACTGGCTCGTCACCTGTAGTGGAGTTGCTCATAGCTTCTACTATCGTTCGTTTTACTTCAGCAATCACAAGGTCCACCGAGTTCCTCATGGCCTGAAGTTTCTCCATAGGATTTTTCAGGCAGTCTAACGAAGCTAATTCGACCACCTAAAATCAATCACAAGCGAAAAAAACCTGAACTTTCAACCCACAATAAGAATTAACATTGAGAAAATCTTACCGCGGCAGGTAACGGAACAGAAAATTCAATTCTCGCACCCAGCTGATCAGCAGTAATTCTCAACTTGCAAAACTCCGTAGCCCTGTCCAACAGTAACTTGTCTTCGATTGAAAATTTTTCGCAAACGGCATTGAAGACTCGATCGTGCATGATTCTCATGATTAAACTACAAAAGAAGCCTTCCTAAAAATGCGAACGATTCAAGGCGATGCCAAGAGAAAGTTTCACCATTCCGAAGCCATTCGAACGCATCGAGTCAGTTGCGCATTCCTCGAGGCCGGAGATAAGCTTTCAATGCACTTATCCACGAGATCATCTAATTCTTGTTTCATCACGCGAGAAAAATCGTCGACGTTTTCCGGGGTAACGTAGAATCCATCTAGCCTCCGCAACGCATCATTAATTAAAGTTCTCGCAGGATTTCCGAGAAATTCTCCAAAAAATTCGTCGGCTCTAAGAGAAGAAATTCAAGGATTGATGTTTACTGCGCTATTTGTGAAAAGCTTACTCAGTAGCAGAGGTAATATTCGTCGGCAGCAATTCAAAGATGTGCGGATATGAATCGGTCGTTTCTGGTGCAGGCTGTGTCAGACACGAGTCGATGAGAAGAAGGTTTATGGGGTCTAATGTGTGGGAGAGGAGCAAGTCTTTCCCCAAAATCTTGATTCGCATCGGTGGACTCGGTTCTTCATTGCTATCGCAATCGCAGTCATGGTAAACTTCGAGCCACGACCAAGTATCATCAACCGTGCATGACAAAACTGGAAGTCCATGAGGGGCGTGGGTCTTCGAGGAAACATACACTCTACAAGAAAGCAAAAGTATATTACAACACTCTACAAGAAAGCAAACGTATATTACAACACTCGGCATCAACAAACGCGAATTTCTTACCCCTTCAACGAAGACGATGGACAGAGAATGTGTGTTTCCACGAAATTCTCATCGACATGAACATCGCGGAGAACTTCGGCACTTGGAATGCAGAGTATATGGTTATTGTCCCTCGCTCTTTGCAACAAATCCCCAAAATCGGTCTGAAATCAAGGAAGATATAAACAGTCTCGCTCGGGACAAAAACAGCAGAAAAGACTCACTTGGAGACGCACAAGATACAAAGGATCAAGGCCGGAAAAATCCATCAGCGACACAATAAACGCGGAGTCTCACATGATCCTTCACTGGAAAAGCCAAGTGGGAAAGAAAATTCAACTGATAAATCACCATACCACTCCAACAACAAGATTCCTCAGAGATGCCTATTGACGGTTCGACGGTCGAACCCTCTATCTTCAAGCACAGAGGGTTGTTCGACAGAAAACACCATACCTCAGCACATTACTGCACTCCGCATGCAGTATGGTCTTCAGTGTAAGGGGGCACTTTCGAATACTGTACAGTGGTGTGTACTGTACTGTACAGTACAGTAATAAAAAGAGCTCTGCTGATGCATCAAAGACGGTGGTGTAGTTTCTCGCCGGAGCAGAACTCTTGGTCGGCCAAAGTCTAGGCCACTGCACCCCCCATCCCCTCACTCCCTATTCTCATCACTCTCTTCTTTACACACACTAGTGACAGACTTGAGGATTTCAGTTTACAGTACGCTGGGCGGTGTCACAGGACTATAGTGATACCAGGTCTAGGAAGGATGTTCACACTGGAATAAAGGGTGTCACAGGACAACTTATCCACAGTATATAGGAGTCCACTTTTTTGTCATACAAGTGTTATAATTTTTTATCCTCTAGCTGCTACACTAATCATATTTGAAAGTGCAAACCTTCTTGAACTGTGGTTTGAAAAGTTGATACAGATGGAGCTCAACTTGACTGGTTGTGAGGACTGTTTGACAATTTGA